TACATGTGGAAAGCCAGCCATGATTTTATACTTGTGAAGACATAATTAGCAGTTGCTTATCACTACTAATGGAAAAATAACCATATGTTAAATTAGAGGTATAGGTTCAAGTTAATACGGTGATGGGTTAACAGCACGGAGTTATTAAAGTAAACTTGGAATAATTTCTAGTTTTCTGTCAAACAGGCTTCTTTGTGTGAGTTGAAGAGTGGTAGACTGACATCACATAAATGTGCAACCAGTATTTATTTTTTTTAAAAGTTGGTTAACAACGTGTTTTACTATTTTTAGCATTATTTTTAGGTAGTAAATCTGTGGATCTCCTTCAAATATCACTATTTTATTAGTATTGTGACATGGAAATGTTAATGTTGTAATCAGAAACAAAACCTTTTCAGGTAAAAGCTCTTCATTTGGAAAAGTGGAGGGAAGCACTGACATTTTCCTCTTTCTAAGCTGTTATTTAGTTGTCAACAGGTATTTAGTTTATCCTAGAATGTTATAATCAGTTTGTGTCTGAACTTCTGTAGGATTTTAAAAATAAAATTTTGCTTCTTGTTTTAAATGGCATATTATTTATCACTTCACAGGTAGGATTTTCTTAAGTGGCATAATGTTTAGCTTGTGTGTGGTGTGCACGTATGCATGCACAGACATTGACATGCTTACTAGTGATGTCTTGGACTTCTTTAAGAGATTTTATCTCCTTGTAGTTTTTTGTGAGCTTTGCTTTTGTTCTGTTACATCTCAGTTTCTAGTTTTCCTGTAGAAGCAGGATTAATTTTTGCAGAGGACTGGATTAGGTTTTTCTAACAGAAAAGTGGGTGTTTCAGATGTGTTTCTGTTGATTGTGGCTTATGTAATATCATACTTCTATTGAAGAAAAATGTTAAGTATGCTTGACACCAAAATGTAGGACTACTGATAATAAAAATACAGAATTTCACTGACTATTGTGTCGATCATATCATGCTTCATTGATTTCAGTTACTGGGTTAGTGCCCACTAGGTATATACTCACTTTTCTCAAGTGTGTCTACATTTTAGATTTATTCATGAAGTAACACTCTGAGATATATTTTACTTCAAATGGTAGTATAATTAATGTCATTAACAGATTGTCTCTCACCCTGGAAAAGTTACTCCATTTAAAGAATAACATAGATTCATCTGTGAGTAAGTTATTGTGTTAAAATATTTCTAATTTCTTATTAAAGTTTTCCATGGATCTGATTTGTGTATGGAAAAGTGATACTTTACAGCTAAAACCTTAACTACAGAATTTATTTTAGGAGTATAAAGTTAATTCCACTTAGTGGTTAGTAAGCTGTTTCAGAAATTGCACACACTTCAGTGCCCTGAAGTAGATTTAGCAATGCAGCGTCATGTACCTGAAATAGAGAAGTATGTAATTTTCTACTTAGAAACTTTTTTTAAAAAACATCGTGGTAGTAATTATTTGAAATGTTGAATTATGAATGCTCAGGGCTCAATCCACACTGATATTCAGTGCTGTCTAATCCACATGAGTGTTTGATAAGGAGATGGTAGTTCAGAGACACAAGCGTTTGATGGAAAGGAAAATCATTGCACTGGCCATCAGTGTGGGATGGATAGCAGGACTGTGATCATCAAGAGTAAAGCAACGTAAGATGAAAACGTGGGAGAATTGAGCTGGTTATGGGAATTTTTATGGGGTGTTCCATTTAAATTGTTCTTGATTATCCATTAATGTGCAGTCTGAAAAATCTGGAAATGAAACACTTAAATTTTTTCCCCTCACAGTACTTGTTTATAAGGAAGGAAGCTTGTCAGTAATATAAAACTGCCATTATGCATCTGAGATTTCAGCTTCAATATGGTTTTGATAGTCTCTTTAGTTTTCTAACTTGATTGGTCTTTGAAGAATGAAAATGGGACCGACTGCATTTTCAGATACAGTCTCTCAAATGTAATGTTTGACATAGTGAAAATTCCTCAGTTTGCCTCTGAATAATGTGTCTAGACTCTAATCCCGCAGCCTGTATAACAGCTACATTCACTTAACAGTGAAATCTCATGCAGTTCTGGTTGCAGGAGTGAGACCTTCATGTGGTAATACGTGCATACAGAAAGTAATATGCTGTGCAGTCACAGCATGCTGGTTTTGTTTGCTTAGAATAATTTCTAATGAAATATCTCTTCTGTTAATGAAGTACCTGTTCTTAATTGCAAAGTGGTGGATATGGGCCAGAATGTAAGGGTAGAAGTGACAGAATGCTACCTGAAATAGTACGATTTTTTTGTTTCACATTCCAAGTTTTTATTTTATTTAAAATAGGGGGGTTTACAAACCTTAGAAGTTTGGGGTTGGATGGTGTTCTCTTAATTTCCTTATAGGAAATTACGGGCCAAAATATAGGGAAGTAGGTAGTTGGAATGAAATTAGCTGTTCAGTTATGTTGATGTTACCCACTTCACCCTCTCCATGTTTATAAGTATCCTTTTAAGCCTAGTCATCATCATGACTTCCTGTAGAGGTTAATTCCAAGAAGGTACTATTTGCTGGGTAACAAGTAACATTTAAAAAAGATGTTTTGCCTCTGTTTCTTTGAAAGTCAAAAGACGTTCAAATTTGGAGGCAAAATGAATGTAAATTTTTTGTATTTGTATGCTGCTATCATGTCAGTGTGTACTGTGCTTACATATTAGATGCACTCATTTTATCTGTCCTTCATGTGTTGAACCCTCTCCCTATGCCATTGCCAGTGCCGTTCTTCTAACCCTTTTTATTTCAGATATGGCTTTTTTTACTGTAAATACTTAAACCAAATTCTGTATTTGGTATATGATTGTCTTATTAAAAATGCTTTTGCATATGTCAGTCGATTTTTGTATCCTCTATTAAAGGGTGTAGCTGCATGACACCTTACAAATTCAGTGGGTTTTTTTTCTGAAATACAGTGGGAAACAATCCTGAAATGGAAGGGTGCTCAGCTAGGTGAGATGTGGTATTGTTTTGCTTCCTAACTTTAATGGTTTATCCTGTCAGACTTTATAACTACTGCTGCACATTGAGCTGTCCACAATGACTCCTAATTATTTTTCTCAGAAGACTGGACTAATTTGAACTCATCGAGTATTTAGATAAAATCATTTCTCCTTGTGTGCATTACATTATATTTATTTGCATTTCATCTGCTGTTGTATTACTCAATTTTCTAACTCAATTAGATCTTTCTGGAAATCTCTATTCTCCACAGTTTTTACTAACCCAAATAATTTCCTACTACTGGCAAATTCTACTGTTTCACTGTCTGCTTCCACTAATTGATGTTAACCATTGTTTTTAATGTCTGGTATAAACTACATGGTTAACTTTTGCCCTCTCTGAGCATCTTGGTTATCTGAAACTTACGTATGAGAGAGAATTCTTCAGCTAATCAAAGGCTTGGAGAAGTAGTCACTAGAGCTGAGCTGAGAAATCTCTCAAGTACATAACATAAGCTTTCTTCTGTTGTTTATAAAGGAGCTAAAGTGCTTAGCAAGAGCTTCAGCACAGAGTTTTGTTTGCAGAAAGTGCACAGGTGTCAGATTTCTGGGGAGGTCTTGTTGAAGTAACCATAGGATTCAGATAATGAAGTTTCACCAAGGAGCAAGGGGGAAAACCAGGTATTATCAAAGTATCAAGTGTAAAATGTAAGTTACAGCAGTGTTACGTTTTATGTACGTTTGTCCACATTTATACATTATAAATTTTTTTGCTGTAGAATGGAACCTTACAATCTGAATGCTATGGGAATATATTGCTGATCAGATCAGTGAAAATTTGTATTAATGCAGTCTGGTGGGTCTTAGTTTAAATTTGTATTATTCCGACTGTATGGATGAGCTTTTTGTCATTTGGAACCTGTTTGTGTGTGAGAAATTAGCTTAAGTGTGTGTGTTCCGAATGCAGTGACACGTGGATAGGAGCAGAAGAGGCAGCAGAAGGGTAGGAGATTAGTGTTTGGTTAATCATGTTATACTGACTGATGAGCTCTAGAATGATGGCACTTTGCGATACAACAAAATGGTGGTTTTTTGAGCTGTATATAAATCATTCAGCAACTGGCAGGTTTTCCCAAATTGCTTTTATTTCTGTGTAGATCAAGTAGCACTTAAAGAATGGACACTAGTTTTTGGAGCCCACTTTGCCCTTTTTCTACAACCTGTCTCTAGTGCTAAATATATATCTTCTTTTTTTTTTTTTTAATATGGTTTTCTTTCTATATTCAATAATTCATTCCTTTCTCAGGTAAGATAAATTGTGACTTATTTATCAAACTTACACTGTATTTGCTTTAAAATCTGTTTTTCTTAATGAAAGGAGTTACTTCTTGAGAAGCTTAAGAAGTGCATCACTGTTGAAGGCTTTTTTAGTTTTTTTTCTGTTTGTTTTTTTCTTAAACTCAGGTGGTTCCAAATAGTTGTAGGAAACAAACCAGTAACAAACACAGACTGTGGATTATATCAAGGTGGTTTTCAGTAGGTTGTCACACACAACAAAGGGGGAAAAAATTCTCATTTTTGGAGATTTCTTTTTGAAAATGGGAGCCATTTTTAGTGGTCAGAACCTGTTTCTGAGAGGTTGGTGAAGTAACATTAAAGGTTCTTTTCACTTGAAGTCACTTGCGTTCGTGCACATGATGAAGGAAAGCATCTGTTCTGTGTGGTGTTTGCTACCTAAATGAATAACATGTTGTATGATCTTTCCCAAAGGGAAGCTGAAGAATCCAAAGCAGGTCATAAAATAAAATGAAAAATTATCATTACTGGTGTTCAGCTGACTAGTGCAAATCAGAGACATTCCTTGTTGTTAGATACATTTCACTCATTTATGACTTCTTTTTCTTTCATCACCTCTGCAGCAACTCTTACAACGTATATCATACTATTATATTCATGCGAGTTCAGTGTCAATAGCCCCAGACTGAAGGATTTTACAGTTTTGCTTTTTTTTTTGGTTGAAGTAGTACAAAATGTCAAAAATTAGAAGGAAGGTCACAGTGGAAAATACCAAGACCATATCCGATAGCACATCCCGAAGACCCAGTGTGTTTGAAAGGCTTGGACCCAGCACTGGAAGTACTGCAGAGGTGAGTTGTAAAAGTGTTCTTCTTTTCCTCCCCACCCCAGCATCTTCTTTTCCAGGA